TGAGGGGCAGCCCCCGCGCCGCCCCCAGCCCCAGGCTCGCGGCCCGCGTCTCCACACTGTCCGGTTGACATGCTGGTGGTGGTTTTGGCGTCTCGGACACAACAGCCGCTCTCCATTTTTCTCTCTTTAAAAAACAGAAAGGTGTCGTCGGGATAAGCGTCACACCGTGCAGCTCCCCGTCCGGGGGTCTCCCGGCCTGCGGGGGCCCCAGATACAGCCCCCCGCCCCCAGCCGCCGTGCTCTGCAGGCCTCAGAGGCGACCCATCAGCAGTCAGGTTGCTCCTTTGCCGAGGCCCTGCGGCACCCAGTGACGGCCTTCGCGCAGACGAGGGTGGCGCTTCCAGGGTCAGGCCCTTGGACGGCCGCTGCGTCCCGCCGCCGGCCCCCGCGTGTCCTCCCCCGCTCTCCTGGCTGCCTCCCCACACCGTCCCCTCCATGCCCCGGGTGCCCCCCCCCGCCTCCTGAACCGCCTTCGAGGCGACGCGAAAGCCCGGGCTCGAGCTGCGCCTCACACTGGCCTCTCCGTGGGCCGGCTGTGGCTTCCTCGGACACAGAGGCGCCGCTCGCGTTTGCCAGCCACACGTCGCTGGGCTTCGGCCGGAGCAGAGCGCTCGCCACAGATCACGCCAGCCTGCAGCGCCGGCGCGGGCCATGGGACACGGGTGTTCATTTCCTGGCTCCTACGGTGACTCCCCCGAGTTCTTAGAAGGTCTTAACCCTCCGCTGACCCCACTGCCCGACAAATAGCCCCACTTTGATCATCCCGAATCCTTTTCGTCTCCCAAAGAGAAAGGCTTCCGGTAGCGTATTGCTGATGTGAGCCAAAGAGTGAGTCGGGGTGTGTGTGAGCCGGAGCGAGGGGTCAGCGAGCGCCCGCCGGCCCTCCCCCTGGCGTCCTTCAGTGGAAGCGTGTTCCTTCGGGGCCGCCATTTGCAAGTGCGCCCCTGCCCTCAGCTCACGGGGGGCGGCCAGCCGCCTCGAGGCCTCGCCATGCGGAGGCCGCACCGCAGTCCTGTGGCGAGGGCTCCTGTCTCCTCCAGATCACGCCCACAAGCACCGGGTGGGAGACGCCTCCAGACGTCTGACCGGCAGACCCGCGGGGGCCGGGCACAGAGGGGCCCTGGTGCCGGCAGCGAGGTGCGGTGCTCCGGTCCAGCAGGGCACAGGACTCGGGGACCCTGGTGCTGGCAGCACAGCAGCCCCGACAGCGTGTGGGGTGCAGTGCTCCCGGCCAGCGGGGTGCAGGACCCTGGTGCCGGCAGCGCAGCGGCCCCGACAGCGTGTGGGGTGCAG